TTTGCTTCAGCAGATTTATTATCTCTTCGACCGAATTTGTTGATGCGTCTTGATTCGCTCGAATTCTTTTGCAAATCTGATTCAATGGAACATCAAGCAGTCGCAATTTTCAATCCAGTCTGACCCAAGAAGGTTCAAATTTGGTCTATCTGACATGCAAACTGTTTTTCAATCAATTTCTGTGGTTAAATTGAGCACACCTGGAGATGCGTTGTTGGCTATTATGTGAGGATCATTGTTGACCTCTTTATGTGCTTCCAATTGTTCCTGGAAATGTTTCTGATGTCTGAGGTTGTGTCAAATTGCAGCTTCGTTGGGATACCGTTGATTAACACAATAATGAATCATCTGCGTGGCTTAGGCTCACTTTGAAATCCGACACTTACCGAAAACGATTCTTCGTGATTCTTTCGAGAGTTCTTCGTGGGATAGAACATCTTCGTGTTCTTCGGCCGGACCTGGCTGCAGATATTCTTCTTTATGGCTCCGCTTACGGCACTTTTCGCAGATGTGACGTTTGAATGGGCAGAAACGCGCAAAATATCATTCGCCACACGACCAGCAGACTGTAGGTGGTTTTTTCGGAGCCCTCTTAAATGGTTTGCTTTGGCTAGCATATCTGACATTTTTCACAGCGTGAATGGCATCGGATGGTGCAGAATGACACTGTTCAGTCAGGGCGGTGTCCTGTTTCAAAGTGAGCAATAGCTTCCATTCGCCTATAAGAACTTTTAGTGTCAAATCTGGGTCTTGATCAAGCTTAGCAAGAAGTGTTGTGCGGATTTCAGCAATAAGGGGACTGCAGAACACTGACGAAAATGATACACTTAAACTGGTCGTCCGTCAAAGATCGGAGCCTGAACCTTCACATTCACGGTTAACTATATCTGCTAGTGCCCCATAATCGTGTATATCCCGTTTGACAATTTTTAGCCATTGTGAACGAATACTGAATAGAGTAGCTGATTCACCAAATATTCCACTGAGCTGTGCCACAGCTTCGTCGAAAGTCAGGTCCTATGGTTGTTTAGGCAGAATATGGTCGATGAGTCTTGAATCGTTGCTCGTGCCGAGCTTGCGGAGTAACAAATGCACTTTCCAGGTATCGTCCTGACGACTGAAGTCCGTCCGGAACATATCCTCCCCGCGTTTGAACTATGGTGTAACCAGAATCTGCGTCCTACTTAAGTTCCGTGATCGCATTAGTGCGGAAATCACTGGAATTCGCCTGCGTGTCCCGCGATGCTGCTCTTGCAGACTGCAAACTCAACCAATTCGTCAACTTTTTAATCATCTTCATTTGAGCTCAAATTTATGAATTCTGTTACAAAAGCAGCTTCTGAAATTGTTCAACGGAAAAATTCACGACATTTTCAATTTTGTCCGTGGCCATTTGTTAAATCTTCATTTGCTGCGATTCCGAAAATTACTCTTAATCTATTCCGCACGACCTCAAACCCAAGTGAAAAAGTCAAAACGACCTTGTCCAAACTAACGTGTTAACCGCAGTCAAACTGAAACTGTACATAGGCGCTAGGTCGCCTCATGACCTGCACTTTCTAGAATTAGCTCGGCGACCAAGGTTCGTTTTTCCCCATAGATTTGGCCGATCCTCTGGGTAGGTTGGTAGTCACGTGCTGGCTTTAAAACATTCTAGAACGTTCGAAATCCATGCGATGATCGTTAACAATCGATTAATCGCTGAAATGATGGATTTTCTTTGCAATTCATACTTTCTCTCGGACAGAGGAAATGTCGACTTGAGGCCCACAAGATTCTCTGTTGAGCCATCCCATTGTATACTTGTCTTGTGGAGTCTTTTATTGCAATCTGGTTCCTTTTTCCATAAACAATAGCTCGCCTTCCACTTACACTGACTAAATTTAATGAGAATAACACTTTTCACGTGAAAAACAAGTGCTTTTTGTTGGTGTAGGCATTCATGGAGTTTGTTAGGAAAATTTACCAACTTGTTCGCACTAGTTGTTGCAGTGGGTGTCTCGCTACTTTTGGGTCTAATTTAGGAACAAAAATGATCTGCAAAGATCTTCGAATCGGAATATGGTGTACTTGCGCGTGGTTTTGCAGGTGCCCCCCACAACGGCATGTGAGATACTACTCAAAATATCAGCTTGTATTAGACAAAATAATAGCGTATTGAAACTGCTGATTGTATGGATAACAAAGTCGCCGAAGTACTGCAACGCTGGGGCACATTGGGGAGGGGTGTTTCTGCATCATTATAGAGCTTTTTGTTTGTTCGGGTCTAATGTTCCAGTTTCCTTCGTTCAGATTTTGTTCTGTTCTCCGAACTGAACAGTTTCGTTGCAGACGTTTCATCGCCAATCGAGGTGACTTCTTCAGTGCTTGGTAAGCAAACCGAGTGGTTTGTGGACTCGACGGACGAGCGAGTGACGTTTGAACTTGGTCGCTTCGATTCACGTCCCGTGACCATTGTTAGTTCGCAGTTCGGGAACCGCCTCTTTTCGTTTCATGTGGTGAATGACCTACGTAACTTCTTTTTTCCCAGCCGTTGGTATACCGGATCTTAGTCGATGCGCAAGATGATTGAATTCTCTGTAAAGAACCACGCTTGGAGGAACTCTGTTCTTTTTTTCGTCTCTCCCTGCGCTAGCACCTTCGTTTTCTCCCAATCAAACGAGACCATTTTTATCAACGTTTGTCGAGACCATTGATGATTAGTAATGGTTCCGACAGGCTCGGTTATGTTCTTGTAACCTAGTAGACAATCTTCTCCCCGTTTGGCCCACATAGTTCGTATCACCATTTTTACACTGTATCCTGTAAATAACGTTCCGTCGTTCGTGCGCTCTGGTTTTCCCTTTCTGTCTAGACAGGGTTGGTATCTTATCTAATAGCAGATGGTGAGGCTTGAGGAGTCGAGCAATCAATTAAGATACGTTCTTGATGTACAGCAAGGCGATCCGTTTCGTTATTGTTGGTTCAGTTGTGGTATTTGCACTCTTGCAGTTTGTGTCTTCGGATGAAACTGCGTGGATATCCGGTGCGCATGAAGGATGTAGACAGCAGGTTTTCTTCTTCGCGTTTTGCTTCCTCAATATTGCAATGTGATCCTATCTTGCGAAACAAGGTCCGTATGCGGCAAATTTTGGATGGTTGCTTTTGCAATTTAGGATTTGATCTATGTGCGTTTTTTCCTGTAAACTGGTGTTTGTCCTTCTCCGTAAAGTCTATACCGTCCATTGTATTGTTCAACAGGCTTTGTGCGGTTTGCATCTGACTGCGTTTGAGTATGACGAACATGTCGTCAACATATCTCACCCGCAATTTCGAGTTGATGACTGAGAGTAGATTTCCCTTTAACGTTTGCATGACAATCTCTGCAATGAGTCCTGATATAGGGATTCCCATTGGGACTCCTTTCACTTTTTCATAGAATGCCCCATCGCAGGTAAAGTAGGTCGTGAGATACAAGTCAAGAAGCTCACATATACTATCAGTCGTCAGATTCCTACTTGCTCCTCCTCCAACATTCAGGCATTCTCTGATGTTTTCTTTTGCCACTTGCAAGTTGACAATAGTGAACAGTTCTGTAACGTCGAAGGACACCATTATTTCTTCATGATCGATTCGCAATCCTTGGAGCTTCTCCAAAAACTGCTGAGCGTTGTTGATAGAGTACCACGATCCACTTATCAAACGTTTAAAGCGCCTCCATAATTTTTTAGCCAAGTTGTAGGTGGCATACCAGGGGGTGACACCATTAGCCAAAGTGGTATACCAGCTTTGTGCACCTTCAGAAGTCCGTGAAATCGGGCGATGTTTGAGTCACGAGCTTTCATTCTGCAACGAAACTGTTCAACTCGGAGAACAGAACAAAATCTGAACAGATAACCCGAGCTACAGGTATTCCGATTTATTGTTCTTATTCATTGCGTTGAATTTCTCCATCCACAACATCTGTGTGACTCTATTTCTTGTAGCATTGCCATACTTGTATTTACTTATCCCTGTCGTTGTGTGCTAACTGATAGGTCCGCAATTCTACCGACGGGCGAGCGCGCCTTACCAGGCACGATCAATTTAGTTTGAATACTTTTGACGGTACACACACGCTAAGGCGTCCTCCAAATAGCACTGGAATTACTTTTTTCCAACATCTTTGTTGATCATTCGTCTGAATACGTCTCCGTCTTAGTGATGGTGTATTTCAAAATCCAATTAGCACCTTATCAAACAATAATTTACTAACATCAACACTACGCATATCTGCATCCTCTTGGCAGTTGTTTAGCTAAAAGAACGACCAATAATATTCTTCCGAATGCCGCTGAATTCGTCTAAAGTCTTTTTCCTGATCATCAACACGTGCATGTTCTGTAATTTATAATACTTTTCTTCGTGTACCTAATCATCTAGGGAATGGGAAATAGCAAGAGGGGAAAAGGCGGAACCTGGTGTTAGATCCACATACCCTGAGCAAACATATATATGAGAAAGATACCCGTAACTTTTCGCAAACACTTAGTTAATCTTGCGTTGATAAGTCGGCATCGGAGACAGCTTTTGTCATAACCCGCCATTATTCAACAGATTACACCTCGTCAGACCCATTTTGAACATATAATACTAGTAAACGAGAGTAACTCCCCTTGGATACCGACTGCGAGTGCCTCGTTTAAATTCTTGAGCCAAGCACACATTTACTCGTGTGTATTCCAGCGCGGAAAATGAGACGGATCAACCGTACTCAATTTGTTCATTTTAGCAAGATCTTTCCCCTGACTGCACATCTTTGAACACCTCATGGTTGACAGTGACTTGCATGGAACTCCTGAACAACACTTACGGTGTGGTATTCTTGGGTTTCCTACAGCCAGATATCTGCTTGCAGGCGTTACCTGGTTCGATAGATGAAATTCGAATCACTTATTAATCTTTTCTCTGCTGGTTCTACTCCTTCGCGGTCGCTAGAATAACATTAATCACTCCTCTCACTTTCCCCTCTTAATCTTTAGGTGTTATGCTCTGCAACAGTGTTCCTTAAATTTGGCCCCGGCATGGGTCTTTGCGGACTTCAACCTTCATGGTAAGTGTGCAGTTGTGTGAAACGGTGGACCCACACGATGGGTTTCTAGCTCCATGTTTGTTGAGCCTCCATAAGCCCCGTAAACCTCATGTTATCTAACTTGGCAGTCGAACTGTTCGCTGAGCTTGGCAACTTTTTTGCAAACGTTTCGTCACCAATCGAGGTGCCATCATCACTGCGTTGTTGAGTAGCGTGTAGCAAGTAGCGTAGCGTAGGGAAGCCTCAATGGCGGTGCCTCGGGAGTAGTGCGCTTGCACTTTCATATGTTCCCCTGTTTGGTCGCGGCGATGAGCAATCTTATTGGCTGGGACCTATATCCGTGTTCAGCTTGTTGGACAGGTAGCTGACTTTTGACCTCTCAGACTTGTGCATTTTAACCTTTGCTTGTGGTCGATTATATCATCCGTCCCGTTTGTCTGATGTTCTGATACACTGGATTTCATCGATTAGGGTGTCGGTCCTTCGACCGTATTGTGGCGTGTGCTGCGTCCACTTCAGTGTGTCAGTTAATTGAATTAGCTGTGAGTGCCATGCTATCAGAAATTCCCCCGCATGTTTTATACTCCCACGCGCCAGAATCTTCACCTTTTCGAGATCGAAGTGGTGGCCTTCTTGATCTTCATGTGCGGAAACCAGCAAATTCGAATCAAGTTTTCTTACGGACGTTATGTGCTTGGTGATTCGTGTACGTAGCTTCCTTCCAATTTGTCCAACCTAGTTTTTGTCACATTCGCTGCATTTTATCTGGTAGATGACATTGTTTTGGTTGTTCTGATCGACTTTATCCTTAGGCTTGGATGTCAGTTTCCTTAAGTTGACACTTGGTTTGTGGGCCACCGAAATGCCATTTAAGTGTAGTAACCTTCCTGTTAGTTCATGTATGTTCTTGATGTACGGGAACACTACTCGTTTGTTTGTCTGCTCTCGTGTCTGCTGTTGGTGAACCGTTCGTTTCCTTAAGCTTCCTCTGATGAAGTTTCTCGGATAACCGTTGTTTTGAAATACTCGGTATAGGTGGCTTTCTACTAGCCTTCTCATTTCCGTTGTACTGCCGTGTTTCCGCTCTTTTGAATAGGCCTAATCAAAAGTCTAAGGATAAAATCGATCAGAGCAACCAAAACAATGTCATCTATCAGATAAAATGCAGTGAATATGACTAGAACTACATTGGACAAACTGGAAAGAGGCTTCGTACACGAATCACCGAGCACAAAGCCACCATACTGAGACATGATCATGACTTGTTTAGGGTTTGTGGACTACATACTTCTGTTAAGGTCGGATCCACATATGGTCTGTTGAATAGATCAGCATTTTTCAGTGCATTCTCTTTTGAGTATTTCACAACTCTGAAAGGCTAGGTGCCTGGATTAGGGCTGGGCTGATGTATCATCAGGGCCCGCCATCGCCGAACGGCCGCACTGAGTGTCCTATCTAGTTAGCTGTATCGCATGTTGGTGGCCACTTCACCGAAGAGCTTATTGCGCTTGTCGTTATAGCCTGAACGACATGTCTAAACTTCAGTCGTCTATGGGGAGGATGAATTATCAGCGCTACAGTGCGATTACTGTTAATGCTTGAATGAGAAACCCAGACACTGCCTGCGGAGAAAGTTAACATATTGGTTTTCCTTTACCACCAGAGCTAGTACAGTCTAATTGTTCTTCATTACTGCACGCTCACCTCACGTCACGTAGCATTATGGCAGTTTGCGCTAGTCACTGTGTTTTTGGTGTGCATTACCCACGGTCTGTAGATTATACGAATCATTCGCCTACTTTCTCTGTTTGAGCACCCCGTTTCTTTTTCCCACTCACATGGCAGCCTTTCTGTACAGCTGTCGCTCTTATTGGAGGTATGAAGTACCAAGCATTGCCGCGGACCAGCACACTGCTGCACTTGGGTCATTGCAATGGGAATCAATACGTTCGGATCCGGTAATGAGCAAGTACTGGTCACAGCGCTTTCGTCTCTTCTCTAGGCTAAACCAAGGGATTCAAATGGACCGGGGTAAGTTTGTGCATTTCCAGCAATCATGTCATCTTTATGCCGCTGTATTCGGGACTGTCGACGCATTCGAGTGCCGTAGGCCCATTTCACTTTGTCTGCTATGATCCATGCAACGAAATGCGGTGGATCCAGTTAGCTTTACTCACGTACCTGAAATGATGGCAGTACTTCAATGCACTTGATGCAAGAAATAAAATTGTCATGGAGGATACTGAAATGTCACAGAGAGAGAGAAAGAGGGGGAAAGAGAGCTAGGGAACACGATTGTGCAATATCCTGTTGAGTTGCTAACCACTGATGTGACCGATCTCATGATCTGCAACAGCCCAGTTCTTCGTTTCAGCAAGCTTCATCATGTTGTTTCACTTCGAGATTTCACTCAATTTGGTTTAGTATCGACAAACACCACACCCCGAGGCAAACAGCTTTCAGTCATGCGAAGCGCATGGCTGCGTCACTGCGGAATTTGCAATGAGACTTCGGGGATTTTTTACCAAGCACCACATTACTGCTCGCTCGATTCCCCTACTCAATGTGTGATCAGTACTCCGCAAGCGTCGACGGCCAATCATTTTTGGTCTCCTAATGTCGTCAGCGCCAAGGTCTCTGATCCGCAGAGTAACACTGACTGCACCGTAGCATGGTAAATTCTTCCTTCGACCAATAAGCTTACATCTCATCATTTTTAGCATGCCACACAAACTTTAGTAATACACTGATATGACCGCCCGATGTGGTACAGCTGACCAGATAGAGACCGATCGTCGACATCGCTCCGCTTTCGATAATAGTACCAACTGGAGACAAGTCGGGTTACTTGACCTTTTAGCTAGGTAATAGCCATACCATTGTGATGGGGCGTTACTGCATGCATCACTGATTTGGCTGATGTGCATTACGAATATAAGGCAACCGATCATCTTTGACCACCGACACATGCGGAGCATCGCTTACAGTTTTACGCCTCTCCTAGTCGAACGAAACAAATGGCTGCATCGCACGACCTTCGATTGCGCGCAGAATAGCTGACAGATTTCGGGTTGGTAACATCATTGCAAAAATCTTAAGCCCTAAGTGGACGGTAAATAAACTATTCACATACGCGAGACGGATCACAAAACCCCACAGCTGGTCTTTGACAAATGCGCCCTTATTGACGCAGTTACGGACATAGGTTTTACATCTTCGAATTTAGGGCATAACTCACTCCATGTCCCTAGGTATGAATCTCAATTGAAGGTCAGTGACAGTGCTAACCTGTAAATTGTACTATAACAACAGGTCACGCTGCTTCTACACGAGGAAAGTTCGAGCATCTGGCTTATCCATTCCTAACTGTGCCCACATAGTCAATCGTAGCTCTTCACGAACAAGTGAACTGGGGCGTAGGCACAGCATACATTATGTCGTGAACGCAACTCGAACGCAACTTTGGTAACATGTGAGGTCCTCGCGAAATGAATTCTAGCCGTCGACGGAGTAATGCAAATGTCCCTTCACCCCAATTAGTATGTGGCGCATTCCTAAGCTATCTTTTCCTTTCCCCACCTTCGCTTGATTGTTGATATCTTATTTTGATCCGTGTTGACTGGCAACAATGCGTTCAGTTAGGCTAATCCACAGGACAACCAGCCTTTAACGACCATTACGAAGCGTAGACAAAGTAAACCGTACGAGACAGAAACGGAAAACTGTCGACTAATAAATCTAACATTTGTACACGGTCCGCACAGAAACTATAGGTACCTTCCTGTAACCCTGGTTCTATAATTCAAATGCAAGGATAGTAGACAACAAGCGAATGAGTATGTAACCGTAATGAAACGCGCAGGCATAGCAAAATATTCATAAGTTGTGTCTATTCAGGTATTAAATGCATCAAAATTGCGAACAATACTCGGATAGTCATTGTGACCGCCCCATTGGCCAATGTATCCGCGCTTCGTGCGTTCTCGCGCGTCTCATGACGTCTACCACCTGATTGGATCGACTGCTTTTGAAGCACCTCGAGAACAGTGGTTCAATCCCAATTCTTCCGACATTGAGAGCGCTTCGCCGGTCTTTGAGTTGTACCGGGTTTGTTGTACCTGGTAATCTCCTTTCCTCGGTGTGTATTTACAGACACAGTCGTTGGTCAGAGGCGGAGCATAGTTAACGAACGCTCACTTCCGCGAAAGTGCTAACCTGACTGTTTGTTCCTACAAGTTATCACCAAAGTAAGGTTGCTTTTATTCGGAGATTTCGTCGAAAATGATGGCTAAGAGCAATGCCTATTGGGACGCTCACTGTGAATCTGCAATACACAGCTAAAGTTTTGGGCTATATTTTCTAACCCCTTTCCAATTTATTTGGTTTATTACAATTATATTTCAAGCTACAAAGATCGATTGCTGATCCAAAAAGCACCAGCTGACCGTTTCGCCCTATTGGGACTGGACAGTAATGCGCATTCCCTCGGTCCCCTTCCAGGGATCGAACTCATGGCCACTAGTGGCTTGTACCACTAAGCAGCAGCTTATGTCACCAAGCTATGGGGACGATAGCCGACCATCATAAAGTAATATCTGCTTTTTGGTTATTTCGCACATTATCTAAGCGGCTTTAGAGGAATGCTATGGGACCCAGCCACGTTTTCACGATATCCTATTGGGCGACTGGCGCCGCTCTCTGCTTCTGCTCAATCAAAAAGTCTAGTCATCTGTCTGTATGTTCACCATTGCTACCTTTTTCTTACATTGTCCCTTCACACCCGATGCATCCTTTTGTCATCCTCATGACATTTTGGCGGCTAAAGTAACACTGCTGTTCAGACTTCCCTTTACTTTCGCAGATAGTTTCTTCAGCGCCACACCCGAAGCCATCGCCGTTCATCATGCTCTGCGTCTTCGCCATGCGCTATCTTTGGATTGCGATCGTCTTTATCATGCGACCGTCGTAGACGCGTTCTGTGGCACCGGGTGCAGCGCTATCCAATTCGCTGTGATGGGATTTCATGGTGAGTTGGCACGCTATAGCTGTTATTGCATATTTCGTTCCCCACCTCTGCGTCGAATTGTTGTCAGAATGAATATATTGCTTCGGCAGTGCGAACCGGATGTCCTTTTCAATATCGTGGAGCAACGCTGACTATTCATCGTATTGCATGCATTGTGACACCTGGTCTCCCTCTGGAGTACGACTTGCCCTGAATCGAATTTCAGTAAATTAGGTCACGGGGGCCATGTTCAGACCAGATCAGTGCCAGACATTACCTACTCGCAAAAATTTTGTATTCCAATAGATAACAACACTGCGATTCGATCCAGGGACTCAGAGGCTGGCGGCAGACCTATTTGCAACTACGCCATCGAACTACAGGCGATGCTGGTCACAACGGCTAGTGACTGTTGGTTCCTTTAAAGCGCTGGTTGTGCGGAAGCATTGCAACACACAGTCTCTGTGTAGACCACGAACCCTCTTTGCTGCGTGGGTCTAAATGCCCAGGCTATCGTACAGCCGCTTCCGATTGTATGGCTGCACCAGTGCCTTGCTCATACTTTTTCTCTGGAGGGGCAGTGAAAGTCGCAAGTTGTCTGTTTTGCCGATGCGACTCTGTCTACATGCGATAGCCAACTGTCTGAGGCCTACAGTATTGACAGTATGTATGCACCTTGATCCTTAATGTTTACTGAGAACACTTAACCTCTTACGTTCTTCTCTGACACTACAGTAGGGTTACTCTCCATTATTCACGGTTACGTGTAATCGAGGTGCAAATAAAAAGTATTGCTTTACTGCTGTTGATGCCAATGGTCGCGTTGAATCCCCTACACAATGTCTAGCTGTTGTTATCGTTGTCTTTACCCGCTTGTGCTCCGCGTCACAAGTGGGAGGCACCGGACTTGTGGATAGGACCCAAGGGAAGTGCAGCATTCCCATTTTACTTTTTCATCCACGTGATCCATGCACTGAACAGCAGCATCGGAGACAGTCTGGCCTGCATGTCAATATCTAACAATTCATCATTGCTTAACTTCACATCATCGGCATTTCGAAGTTGGCCCATTTAGACCGGGTACCGCAATCAAATCAACTATATATCCCTACTTGGACTTAAATGATCCTGTTTCTCGGGTTATTTTTCGGCTAATGTTCCACTGCGTGACTAACCTCAGTCTCCTGCATTGCTGCGACTGGGATAATTTCACTAGTACTATCGTACTTGTATCATGCACTCTGTATCGAATCCTTGAATGCTGTTATGTGCAAGAGACGAAACGGGATTTTAAGTCCGCTTCATCCTCTACAATTCGCTGCCATCTTGCATAGGGATCTCTCCACAGTCTGACTCTATTCAGTAAAGAGAGACCTGTGGCGTTGAACCGCAGATGCATTAAATGACGGCCCACCTGAATCACTACGCGACCTGTATGGGTCAAGATGGTTCCAGCGACGCTGATTTGCCCACCTAATCATTGTGTGACTCACGCGCCGTCCACGATATAGCCTCTACATGATTTTTTCTTCCTCGCTGCACAGTCATCCACGCAACGGTTGCACGCATTCAGTCCAACTGAGTTGTGGTGTTTAAGTGACATCTGGCCATTCTGGCGAATTGTTACTGTGGTAGAACTTGGAAGAGAAAATGTTTTCCACGCACACGTTACTTTTAAGTATCCCGATACATATCAAAAGGTGACTCTAGTCGCACCTCTTTGCTATCCACAGGGACCCTGCCTGGTCAAGGTACCTGTTTATAACGAGCCAAGTGGCCTTTAATCGGTTTGAACAATTATTTTATACGGGTTAATAAGCACTGCTTTACAAGCCCCGTTGAGCGATCTGATGGGCTACCAGAAACCGTTAATGAAAAAATGCAGTTAGTAGTTCTGCTATCAAAAGAATGAACTTATCGTATGTAATGCAGTAACCCTGCACTCCGAGTATTTCCATTGCTTCAATAGGCGAAAAAATAAATCCATGTTATCTCCCTGGAGTAGGATGGAGAGTAACGTCAAGTAACAAAATGTAAGTGGTGGAGTGCGTCATCCAACCCACTTTTAAATATGGCTGGTGTGAGTGCAGGAACAACCAATTCGTAGAGAGCATTCCATGATTGACACACTCGAATGGAAAAGTAATTTTTACGTCACTCCAGACGGCTGTACTGTTCTGCTAATTTCAAGAAGTGGCCTCAGTTTGGTGTTGCTGCTGAGTTGCAGTAAAGAGCGGTGCACATGATTTGGATTGTGTACAATTAAGTAACCCATATTCAAGTCGCCGATACTGTTCGCTAAATACTCCTAAATGTTTCAGCGTCTGCTCGTATGGAAGGTACCGCATTCCAACGATGTGTTTGGAAGTCCGGCGTTGAGGTTGGTCCATGCAGTATGGTCGTGCTTCAGCCACGACTTCCAGGTTGGGTTGCATATTCGACATCGGGGCGAAGATACGCAATGAGCATCTGGCTGAAAATGGAATTGTCTAGTTGTCCGAACGCCCCTCGTAACAGGCCGACGTGTTGGTTACTACTTTTCGATGCCTTTGCGAATTGCTTGGAACAGCCCAAGTTCTCCTGAACCAGCACGCCAAAGTGGCGTTCTACGGATGATCGCTGCGTTCCTAGCCTGTAGGCATAGGTACTCTGGTGCCATATGGAAGGCACATTGTAGTTGCTCACGTTGAACAGTAGCAGACTCTGGGTTGGCCACTGATATCCCATATGTAGATCACACTGAAGCAAATTCTGATCGGCATCCGGCTAAATCATGTGCCGTATTTTTATGTAATCTGCAAACAGCAGGAAATTTGAGACAATTATCTGTGTAAGGTCATAAGTAAATACGAAAAACAATCGTGGCCCTAGAACTGAGCCCTGGAGCACACCAGACTCGACTTGTATGGGGTCAGATATGGAGCTACGGACTCTGACTACTAATTATCGTTGGAGGAGAAAGTTGGAGATCCAGCTCAAGAAAGGGTCACTGATCTCGTACTATTGGAGTGTGGAAAGGAGAATCCGATGATCTAAACAATCCAATGCCTTTGGCAATTCCAAGTAGACCACATCACCGGTCTCTCCATCTTCAGCTGACTCGGCCCAACTATTCCGTGCACGATCTATGTCGACGAGAGCCTTGTTGCTCGGGCGCAATAAGGTGACAGTTTTTAGATAGCACACCAACGCATTGGTAATGATGGATTCCATGACCTTGGACAGTACAAGAAGAAAGGATACTGTTCGGTAGTTTGAGGACTCAGCCCTGCTTCCGCCTTTGTAAATCGGAGTTATTATTTCAAGCTTCGACATCGCAGGAATCTGCTTCTGATCTAAGCAGCGCTGAAAGAACTGGGCCAAAGGTTTTTCCAGTTGTCTTGCTGCTGCTCCCAGTGCCTCTGGGTGAATGGTGCCCACTCCCGTGGAGCTGTGGTTGCGCAGAGTCGTCAGCTTCTGTAATACAGATCCAACACTAAAAGAGATATGGGTGAGTCCTGGAGGCGGTAAAACAAAAGTTGGAAGATGGCCTGACGGTAGCACCGGAGAGGTGGCCAAGCAATGACTTGATCAAGAGGAATGAAGGTCCTTACTGCGAAGTTGGTTTAGATTAGAACCTCTTGGCTCTCTGGTTGGGGACCGAAGGACGATGAACACGTTTGGTTGGATTCACTTGTTGACATGACTAGGAGCGGACCTCACCCTCTAACCGCGATCTCAATTAATAGTCATTATATGACTTTTTACGGCACACTAGCTGGTTGTTAGCTCTCCGGAACGATTTCCATCCGTTACTGGTGACTCAGCCGACGTGCCACTGTTCCATTTTTTCTTTTGCATTGCGACACCATCGCTGAGGTCTTTTCCACCTGCAGCTAGCGTGTATAAATAATGATGAATGATGGGAGCATATTGCGTTTGCTCCTTCTATTACTCTTCTAGTTAGAGCATCAGTCGTCCGGGGCGGAGGAATTCCCTGCCTCACCTTTACGACGACCATGGACATACTTGTACAGCAGTTTGTGGTTAGCGCTGAAACTTTTCGCCACATTCTGCTGATATGCAATTTTATCATCTTTGAGCAGTTGAGTACGATGGTTTCAATGGGCTGCGTAGTTGTCCCAAGTATCTGGCGTTGCGTACGGTCATCTATTTTTGAGTTCTGCTCCTTACGAATGAAACGGTTTTAGGCCCACGGCAAACCCTTGTCTCTGAGACATTTGTGATCAGTTGCTTGAATTTGCTGTATTTTTTACTCTAAGACAGATGAAATCAGAAAAGGAGAACAGTCCAAGTGTAAGCCATGCAAATACTTTGAATCAGAGGAATGAGCTACGTGTTTGAAGCAAGGGACCGAACGTTGTTGCGTACTTACAGACGCGCTCCTTTCTGTGAGAACATCATTGGGCACACGCCATCGATCGGCATCTGCTCACTTTCGCTTTGCAACAACTGCCCGTGCGGTCAGTGCACGAGGTGGCACCCGATGCGCATGCACACTTGGCCGCTGCGTCACAGCTGATCTGCGGCGCAATGAGCATGTCGACGCACCCGCTCGCCTCTCATGTGAGGAGGTTACAAGGCTATCTGTACTCGAATACTACCGGGAAAGACACTAGTTTGCTGCGATGATAAAACTTTCTCTGCGGTCACAATTGAAGATTCAGCGAAATTTCTGCCGTGCTAACCTACAATTCCGTGCTTTCCCCTCGAAGACTAAAATAAAGAGAAATTCGGGCGCGTTCATCCACTATATAAATGTCAGGTGCTTCGTGCTATCGTCTGAAAGGTTGTGATGCTTGTCAGACACAACACTTTTGTAGGCATTTAAACTCCCTTCAGCGTCTACCGAATTCACTGGGATTTATAGATAACGGCCGACAATGGCTGTTAGTTGTAGAGATCTGTCATGCATCCCGCACCAGAAGGACATCGTCCTCACATTTTCCTCGTGCAGTTTTTTCACCAACTTTGGATAGATTAGTCATTCCGTTTTCTTGAGCTGGTAAGGCAACCAAGCC